TCAGCTGATGAACACATTCAGTAGAGTAGCAGGATACGAAATTAACACATAAAAATTCAGTAGCCTTCCTAAGTTACACACTGAGAAAGAAATTAGGGAACCAATCCTTTATATTATGGCCTAAAACAGCTCAGATATTTTTACAACTAAAATGAAACTGTTGTACATTGAAAACATTAAGATATTGAAGAAATTATAAAAGACACTAGAAGATGGAATGCATTCCCATGCTCATGAATTGGTAGGGTTAATATTGAGAAAATGTCCATTCATGAAGAAGTAATTACAAGTTCAATGAAACACCCATCATATTTCTAATATAATTCTTCACAGAAATTAAAAAAGAAAATCACCATATTTGTTTGGAAAGACAAAAGACCCAGGTTAGATAAAATCATTCTGAACAATAAAATTACTGCTAGTTTTATCATAATCCCACATTTCAAGTTGTTCTACAGAATCACAGTAATAAAAACATCAAGGTATCAGCATAACTACAGACACATTGATTAGCAGAATAGAATTCAAGCCCCATACATGAACTCTACAGCCACTAAAGTTTCGAAAAGAAGCCAACAAAACACATTGGGAAAAGACAACATCTTAAACAAATGGTACTTGTCAAACTTAATAGATACATGTATTTGTCAAACTCCAAATAGATAATCTCTTTAACATAAACCCAATAACCTGAATCTATTTGAGGTTAGAGTAGAGAATATGCTAGAACTCACTGTCACAGAAAAGTATTTGCTGAACAGGCCAAGGTTTCTGAAAGCAAGGGTATTATGACTAAAAATGATAAATGGGACTTCATGTAACTAAAAAGCTTTGGTGTAGGATACTACCATCATGGAATCATTTTAAACAGATGACTAAACACCTAGAGTCAGTCATGATGTTTTCCTGAATCATGTTTAATAGTTTTACCAGGCGTTCATATTTATTATTTCCTTTTTCCTTGTTCTTATACTTTATAGATTCCCAATTCTAAATTTCTCTGGTAGTTGAGAAATATTTATATCTGTGTTTAATGTTTTCAGGAATTAATAACCATCCTCTATTAATAGGTAAAAGAAAGCATCTCTTAAATTTGCAGGTGTTATTTTTTGATGAGTTTTATCTAGTCATTTGAATTTGTTGTGTATTCTGAAAAAATATGAAGCCAAATTTGTGACCATTGCTTAAGACTTGCATTTTATGCTTGAACTCTGTTTACCATGTGCTCTTATGCCTTTTAAAAGATGTTCAATCATAGCTTTAATTTTGTGCAATACCGCAGTGCCATCACATAAAATGACTTTTTTATGTTGTAGTTCCTAGTGTTACACAATAATGTTCCTGTTATTAAGATGTATAGAGCTGTGTATCAACATTATTAAATATTCATGGTTTCTCATTATTTCTTTCTTATTTAGCATTTATACCTACTGGGAGATGAGGGACGATTGCTGCTTTGTCATCACTTAGTTGATGCCATGGTGTATTCTGTATTTTTTTTAAATCAAATATCTGGAGCACATAGTTGCACTCCCTTACATTTGAGATGCAATCGTTAATTAGTATTAATTGAAGGTTGAATTTCTTTCTTCGTGAATATTGTGTGTGACCACCCATTGGTGCTGAAAAGCCTTTCCTGTTCCTTCATAGAATGGCTTGAGACCCTGCTTCCCTACATGTCCAGAATGATGCAGATCTTAGCAGAGCTTAATTATGATCATGAATATATAGTAATAATAATACTAATAATAGTAACAATAATAGTAAACCCTAAATTCCAATGTACTATTGATTAAAATCCCTAGACAATGGAAATTGAAGAGTTTCTCACACTGATATTATGGTTTAAACTTTAAATGTCCCCAAGGCCTTGATCTCAATCCCCTGGCAGTATTCAGAGGTAGATTTTTAGGGAGCCTATGGTAAGCATTTAGATGATTGGAAGTGTGCCTTTAAAGGGGATCTTCACATATTCTTCTTTCCCTACTCCCTCCTCATTGTTCCTCCCTCCCTGGGAGTTAAATGAGTTAAGCAGTTTATTGTACTTTATACTTCCCAGTATGGGCTTCTGCTTCACCACAGTCCTAAACAGTATCAACACAAGCCTTCCAAACATTCAAGCTCAGAGTTCTCTGAAGCCATGAGATTACATAAACAAACTTTTGCTCCTTCTGAGGTGAATATATTAGGAATTTTGCCACATGATGGAGAACTGGCAAATGCATATGCTTTTTCCTTTTGTTTATTAATGCCTTTTAAAGTTATCATATTGGCTTTTTTCTTCAATTATTATGAGCTCATGATGTTTGACAGACTCAAATTGCTCCATGCAGTCATATTGGTTATTGTTTTGTTGGCTCTCAAGTTATCAGAGATTAGCTTGAAGTCATTCTACTTGCATTCCTTAACTACAATTTAAAAAAATTCTTTATTGTTATTACTATTATTTATTTTAGGACATAATTAGTTTCTGTCAACCAGGGATTGTTATAAGAAAGTTCTCTGTTTGTTTCTTTCTCCCTTTTTCCATCATCCTCTCTTCTTCCTTTTCTGTTTTCACTCCATTTGTCCTAATAATTAAAGAAACATAGTTCTTACTGATGGATACAGGGAGACAATATTCCAGATGATAGAATTCTCCAGAGGGATATGAATAAAAGGAATCTATTGCTACTGATCTCTTTTATAGGGAGATACAGAAAACTGTCTAGATTTTTAGTTTATGTGTTCACCTTCACATCCTTCAGAACATCTCATTTTGTGTCATCTTTCCTCTTTTTATTCTGTGATTTTTTCCCCACTTACAAGAGTCTGCACCACACTGACATTGAATCAGTCTGTATGCAAGCCATCAGATCAAACAGATTAGAATGGGTACATTTGGGAAACAGTTCATCTGTATATGTGAGCAATGAAAGTTAAGCCTGAATAACAAGAGTCACCCACAAATGAAAAGGATGTCAGAACCATGTAGTTAGTTTCCTGAGTTTAATCTGATCACTTATTGGTTTGCTACTTCTATATGAGTTGTTGAAATAGTTTGGAAAGTTTTCTTTTTTATTTTATTTTATTTTATTTTATTTTGGTTTTTCGAGACATGGTTTCTCTGTATTGTTTTGGAGGCTATAGGTCCAGCCCAGCCTCGAACTCACAGAGATCCGCCTGCCTCTGCCTCCTGAGTGCTGGATTAAAGGCGTGCGCCACCACCGCCCGGCAGTTTTCTTTTTTAAATATTTCTCCATAAAAAAAAGTTTTCCCCCAATGGTGTGTCACTGTCTTAATGATGGGTCACTGTCTCAACAAATTCAAAGGTGACTGAATGGACCCAATTTGTAAAACCTTATCTGTATCTTTGAGCAGGTAGTAGGAGCAAGAAAGTCTGCTTCTATGGTGCTGTGTTTCAAACACTCCTGGCTGATTTTGCCTACACAGGGATCCTGTATAGAACCTCACGGTCCCCTCATAGATAGCAGTTTTCTACCTGTGATATTGATGACCAGGTAAAAAACATTTTCACTTATGAAAAAGAGCTCAGGTCACTGAGGTGGTTGAGACCATCTACCAAAAATTCTGTGCTGGATCATGCCAGAATCTGAGTATGGGGTCAGAGTAGAGGTAGACATTCTGCACAAACCATGTCCCAAAAGCTCAAAATGCATAGTGTTTTTTCTTGATTTATTTTAAATAAATAAAAACTTTAAAAATTATTTTTAAAGGATGTATGTTAGAAATAAATTCCTTTCACTATTTTCAAAGCATTGCTGGCTATTTATTTGACTAGGGTTCCTATAAGAAATGCCTCATATGTATAATTGATAATGTGTTTTCCCATTATATAGCAGCCACTATGCTCGGATGGTAGTGGTCTTTCTTGTGCATGAATATGGATCTATTTGCATTGTCCTACATGCACTTATCCAGCTTGATCAGGACTATGTACTGAATATAGTGCCCTCTCTTGACTGTGTGTTTATAGCTTTTATGTAAAAAAATGGGTATCTATAAGCCTGTGAAATTATGTATGGGTCTTGAATTCAATTCAATTTAAATGAATTCATTATATAATGGGGGGTGTCCTCAATTAGACATCGTATAATACCAAGTTCAAACCTCTAATGCCAGGAATGTTGCATCGTTGGTCAAAGGGGTCCCATAAATCCATAACCCCACCCCCAAACATCATAGGCTATTTCCAAGGCTATTGGTAACTCTCCATAACCTGTGGGTAAAACCCTATTGCTGAAGACACAACTTACTTATGTCGTTGAACATCGAAATACTGATCTGGTGCCCAGCTAGATGCATTATCCCCTGCTACTAGCATTTTTGGTGATGGGTGATACATTTTGCATGCTACTGGAAGACAAAAGCAATAATCAATTTCATCTAATTACAAACCCTGTGACCTACAACAGTGATGTGCCTGCAAGATATACTGGTGTAATTAGTTACAAAATGTTGTTGGATTAACTAATCACTTTTAAATTTGGATTGAGGACCACATCATGAGGTGGAACCTATACATGGCATTGATAATATGGCCAAGAAGTTGAAATATTAGAAAAATTAAACTAAGGGCTCATGTGCAGACATCTGTGTATTTGAAATTTTATATAATTTTTAAATACATAAAAGATATCACTCTATGGTAATTAAAGAAATTTTGTTGTGAAAATAAACACTTTTATTCTGATGTCTGGGAATCATTTACTGTTTTTCTATATTTTATATATAGGCATATATATATACATATCATCTCCCTCTATATATAACATATATATAATCAATCAAAAACTATATGTTATTAGGTGTTATAGGAATGGATAACTAAGGGAAATAAGTAATAGGAAAAGTTAAGTATTTCATATTATTGGTAGATTTAGAAGTCACAAGAGTCATTTTCTGATGTGTTGGGTGTTTTGCTTCATGGCTACTGCATATGACTGTTCTCTTAGCTCCCCTGTGTTTTCTCTCATTGATCAGTTTTACTTTTCATCCAGGATGTTCTAAATCATTTGGGATCCTGTGACCTGGATGAAGATGATCTAATGCTTGATTTAGAATTTTTGGAAGAACAGAATCTTCAACCCCCAGGTAAGAATTGATTAGATGTCTATAGTAAAAAGATCCCAGTAAATGCCTACAAGAATATGACCCCAATTTAATCAATTAGCTTTAATTACAGCTTTTACTGTACACTAGATACTATTTAGAGAATGGCCAGTATTCTCTTTCTCCTTTGAAGCAACCTAGGTACTCTGCATACTTGAGCTTCTTTTACTCGATAACTTGAAAGTCACATGTGGAAACATGAATCCAGCTAGAAGTAATTATAAACTAAAACAGGACACAAAGACGTTCCAAAGGAAGATATGCTCCAATTAAATACTTTTCAGTTTAAAACAATAATATCTTGTGCTTGAAGGGAAACCATACAATGGTTACTATTCCATTTTTCTTGGTTTACTCTTAATCAAATTTAAGCATTGGTGATCTATATTTGTTATTCTAAATTTTAGTCACAATATCCCTCACAATATAGATTAATGTTGATGCTGCAATGCTGATCTGAGAGACTATAATGACAAATACATCTGTAGACAAACTCTCAAACACACAAACACACATTTGCCTTTATAATGAGAAATAAGTAAATTCAAACCAATTAAACTAGGAAAGTCCATCCACCTCATTTATAATAATTTGAATTCATACTAAATATTAAATAGTATAAATTCAAAAATAATTCTTCATTCAAAGTACTTTATATGACCTAATTGTATTCAGATTTAGTTATTTGATAGCAAAGATTCTATTATCTTATTTTATTGATACCTCTTATACTATTGCTTGTACATTAAAGGTCAACAGTGTTAAGCTAAGCTTTAGTGTCTTAAGTCTACTGGATCATTTAAAGAATATTGACTGTGCAGTGTTTAGTATTCCTACTTCTTACTTGTGTGAATTCTATTCTCTGTACTAATTCTCAGCCTTATTTTGAGATGTTTGGTTCATGCCAAATATTTAGACCCAGCTAATATGTTGTAAATTTGAAAAGCAAGCCATAATGATGTTTATATTTTCTTGTACCCTATTTTAGCTTGCCATTGTCTATCAATTTGGAATTAAAATTTTTAAAAACATTCTACTGCAGGTGGTTTCACAACTATCCCTTTCTAATGCAGATGTATTGATTTTTTATGAAGATAACTTCTAAAGTATGTCCTTCATGTATATCTATCTTAACAGCTAGACATTAGGGGAACACAGTAAAAAGTGTTTCCTTTGGAAGGAGTCTTTTAAAGGAGAATTGTTCAGCATTTTACAATCATTTAAGTTGCCACAGGTAGATATTTAATATAGCATAATGTATTTACCATTAGATCAAATTATCTAATATCTATTATCAAAACTTATGAAACTGGAAACTATAAAATAATACTATATATATAATTTAAATATCTACAGCTGCAAAATGTTGAAAACAGTTCAAATGTCTCTCAATAAGACTCTTAATATTCAGTAGTACAAAAAGCATAACTAAAAGCAATAAAGCATTCATATTTACTATTGTATCATTATTGGTAAATTGTTAATAGTGGATGGAACAGACATGGATTAGATGGTATACCTAAACTCTAGATCAATCCCCAACATCAACATACATAATAGGAGGATAGTCTGTCCCTCCTGATGCAATTCTGAGAGAAGTACAGTGCCAACCCTGAAGTATTTATTCTTCTTCTTTCTCCTCACTTAATGTTATCCCACACATACTTGTGGGCTACCTATGAGATAATGAGAGGAATTTCTATTTATTGTTTTTAAACACTGTGTGGTAAAGTGGATCTCATAATTATAAATGTATTTATTTTTCTGTAATGAGAGATCATAAAAATAAACTTTATTACAGAGAGAAACCCTGTCTCAAAAACAAATAAAAAAATAAACTTTACTAATTTTGGACTTCTTGAAATTAGTTTGAACCATGAATTTTATAGGAAGAGTATAATGAGGGAGAAAATAAGGACTAATTGACGAAGTGAGGCTGCCAATCGTCAGCCTAGGATAAGGCGTGGAAAACTCAAGATACATGGTTGGGTTTCTTTTGTGGCTGGTAGGGATGATGAAAGGGCAGAGGTGTAAAGGGAGGCTTTTTTCCTTGAGAGAAGCCTTCCTGCCACCCTGGTTCTAGAGCTGCATCAGTTCCAAATAAACATTCAGGAGGCTATATTAATTATGAAGCTGTTGGCCTTGCTTGTTTCTTACTGGCTAGCTCTGACTTAAGTAATTACCCCATAATTGTTAATCTAACTATGTCTCTTACCGGAGAAGTTTCCGGGCTTCCTACCCCATGGCTTTACATCTCGACTCCCCGTGTTTCTCCTACCCAGAGTCCTTCTGGACTCCTAGTCCCTCCTATCTTGGTTCCCTATAGGCTCAACAGTGCTTTATTGACAAATGCACAGGACTTCCCCCCAACACAGAGGTGACAATTGTAGTTTAAACAGCTGAATGAAATGTGACCCCTTATAGGAGCATTTACTTAAAACTGTATATACTCTTTGTAAAAAGTAAGATTTTGAATGTTTTTATTATGAATAAATGATGAATTTTATGGAGGTAGGTAAGTTTAACTCAGTTTATGTTGTTATATATCACTTAAATTTTTAAAAAACTGAAAACTCACTCTGAATTAATGAGAGAGAAGGTGATTTAACTGAGTCTTATGGAATTATAGCTCATTTTGTTTAATTTTATAATTGCATTCTGATTTAGTCTTAATTTTGTGTAATATTTTGTAGAGATGTGTATTACTGAGAAGGGAGCTGATGAAGCTGATAAATTGTTTAAAATGATCAAAACAGGGAAATGAGTGCCTTGAGTGAGGGTGTCATGGAATTATAAGGATTTGGGATGAAACTTCAAAATATTACTCTTTTGTATGTTTATTGGAACATTTATGAAATAATTGAATGTAGAGATGACATGGTAAGTCTAGATCTGTTTGGGTCAGTTATAGTGAACAGCAGTTATGTCTGACAGCCAGCGATGGGAAGAACAAATAATGACTTCAAATCTAAACAAAGATGCAGCTCCATGTGCCTGTTCTGGGAAAATATTAACCTTTACAAAATTATTTTCCTCTATAAAATATAATGACCACTATTCACTTTATTTAATGGAATAAAAGTGATGTGTTATTCTTCTGACTCACTGCACAGAAGGAATAACTGAGAGATAGATGCTGAGCCGCTCACCAGCCACTTCATTCTCTAAAACACATTGTTTCTCAGATGTGTTCCTTGGGCAACTGTAAGGTGCCTCTTCTCTAAATGGATGTTATTAAAAGGCTAATACATAGGGCAGTATGTATCCAGATAATTTAGACTGGGCCTGTAATTCATCATCTGTAGCTGTTATTCCCTCTGCATCTTTTGCCAGCCACTCATCAGCCATCTCTGTGGCAGAACCTCATGGGGAACAGCCTGGTAAAGTCAGGGGATAAACAACACTGATCAAATGATGAGGAAAGGCTCACAGAGCACACCTGAGTGTTAGAAACTTGGTGATGCGAGTACACTGGTGCTTTCTATGGTGTCAGGGAAGAAAAAAAATTAGAAAACTTTGATCAGTTATAAGATGAACAAACTATGGGAATGTCAGATCAAAAATGTTGATGATAGAAGCATTCAAGACTATGGTGGTGGTAAATGTAGAATTATATATATTCACATCAAATGTCACATTGTGTACTTTAATATAATTCACTGTTGTCATAGAATGTCGTATTACTTTAATATTATGCATTTTAAAATGAAATGAGAGCAGGTTAAAGATTAGGTTGCTAAATTGGTCTAAATCCACACAATGGAAAAACATTCATCAAAAGCTGAAATATTAATTGGGATGAGAGCATGAGTTCATTGTTGAAGAGCTGTGTTTCATGAAAAATGGTCATGAAAATAACACAAGATCCCATTAGTGTAAACAGTGCAAATTTCATGGAAAACAAACAAAAAAAGCAAAATAACAAAAACAAACAAAAAACCCACACAACATTGTCTGGGGAGACAAGGGACTGACAGGAAGAGACTGAAAGAACCCAATGGTGATGAGGAAGCTTGGGAGCAGCTGACTATATTTCTTGTCTTGCTTTTAATATTGAGTTTATTATAAAACAGTAAGTCTTAATGAGTTGTTTTAAAATGTTTGTGGAAAGTAAACTGAAGGATCATAGTGAGCCAGAACTTTATCAAAGCCACATCAAATTAACCTTAAAAAGTTTTAAAGAATATTGCATCTTTAGGATTCAGTCCTGATAAGTGAAAAGTTAGAATAAAAATAATAGAGATTATATCTTCATATGATTACTTTAAAATACACATGTACTATCATACACACACATGCACACACACACACACACACACACACATACACGCACACACACACCAAAACAAGAGAAAAAACTAAAGAAACTTCAGTTAAAATGTATATAATTTAGGTAAACTTGTGCTACAAATATTGATAATACTTCCCTTTAAAGTCATAGGTTATTGAACAAATATCTCAGTGTTAGGTAAGAGACCCACTTCTCTTCCAGTTGTTAATCAGGCAGATGAGAAGAGACCCAAGAGATTTCCAAAACAATATAGACCATTGCTACTGCCCTTGGTTTCCTTCTAGGACCTGAAGATAAGACTCTATTGCTGAGGTCACCACATACTTTGGGCAAAGAACTTGGAGAAATTGAACTGGCACAGACCTGCAAGCCTCTTTCTTAAGCAGGTGCCATGTAAGCTCCCAGGGCTGAAAGGGAATCCAAAGTCCTACCCAGCTGTTAAATCTGTGAACCACAACAGTGAGCAGCCCACAAACATATCCTTGATGGTGCGTAACCAACAACTACTTAATTGGACTTAAGGAATTGTTGGTAGGAGGGAATTCATCTCTGTTACTATAAACCTAGGCAGCTATTCATAGCTGGAGAAATCATAGACACCAGAGGAGAAACTATTAGTACATTTTCCTAAATCAAAATAACATCTACTAGCTTTCTATATCCTTATGCTCAAATAGTCAGCCCTGAACAC